TCTTTCGATTTTGATTGGGCATATGTAAACCTGTGATTTTTTTAGCCCAGTTAGGGCCTTGATTATATACAAGTTGGGGATCTTGCATAATCTGTAGCGCCCACATACTTAGAAAATTCTAGAACTTTTAGAAATAATTTGAAACTTTTCAAAACAGAACACTTTTCTTAGGCACTACTAAAAACTTTTCTTTTCAACTATCTAAAACTTCTTTCTTTCTTTCTTTCTTCTTTCTCAAACTTTCTAAAACTTTCTTTCTTTCTTTCTCTTCTTTCTTTTCTTTTTTTTTTTTCTTAACCCAAGCCTCACACTTGGGTCTTAGGGAACTTTCTTCCCAAATTCTTACTTTCTTTCTCAAATTTAAGACAAGTAGAGCGTTCAAAAATACTTAGTCTTAAATTGAAAATATAGTCTCAAAGGCACAAACTCAAACGTGTTCACAAATCAAGGTAAAAACAAGAATTTGTAATTATTTTGCGGAAAACATAATATAAAGTACTAATTGACCACCATTGGCCTCCCGTGTCCACGTCCAGCAGCTCAACCCGAAAATGATAATTGTAGGGGCTGAGCAAAACAACTAGCCCACCTTGAGCCTATACTATGTAGTTATTCGGTATAATTAACGGCTACCATGAATATGCATGTAACACAAATAAACTGATCATGCAGCCTTCTCATAGGCGCAACACATAACAATGCGGCCTTCTCATAGGCACAACACGTCACAATGCAGCCTTCTCATAGGCACAACACGTCACAGGAAAGGGTGATAATTCCGCCGCCTCATAGACGCTGTCAATCACTAAGAGGGTAATACTTCGCCGTCTCATAGGCGAAAACGTAATAATTTATGAAACATACAACAACCATAATTATTATAGTAATAATAAGGAATAAAATATAGCATAGACTTCCCTACCTAGTATACGGATGATGAAAGAGAGTAGATGCTTCCGTGGAAACTCGAGGGTTCGAATCCTTGGAATCAACATTTTTGAAGCATAACTCGGATAAATACCTTGACTTTGGTAAAACTAATTTACCAACTTGAAGAATTTCTTAGCTTAAGATTCTTGACTTAGTGAAATTTTTCTTAAAGTTGAAACTCTCGGCTAAAGGCATTCTAAAACTCGAAAAAAGAGTTTCAGGGTTACAAAATAAGGTCAAGCTTAAAATCACGTTCACGAATCGAAAATATTTTCAAAAACTCAAAAGTGGCTCGTGGCTTAAAATGGCTTGGGCTCGTGTCTCTGTCTCATGGCTCGGTGCGGCCTGACCGCGACTGGCACCGGTGGCCTGAGCGCGAAAGCTGCAGGTCACCTGGGGCACTCCTCTACTCAATGCGGCCCAGCGCTCCACGGTGCTGCCGTTGGCACCATGTGCGCGCTCGCTCGCGGGACATGGGTCTGGTGGCCTAGGTCATGCGTGCTGGCACGGGTGACCGCGCGCACTCTGCGTTGTTGGGACGGTCACGGGTCGCTGGGCTTGGGGTCGTGCATGCTGGCACGTGAAATCGACGCTCGTTGCGCTGCTGGATGGTCATGGGTCGCTGGGGCGCGGAACGCTGAGACGGATCATGCTGCTTGGGAGCTGCGGGGATGGTCAGCATGCGCACGGGTGCTGACAGCTACGGCGCTGCATGAGGCGTCTGGCACGTTGACTCGTAGTACTCAGTGCGCGAGGCAAACCGCGCCTGCGAGCGTGAACGGCTAGTGCCTGGCAGCATCCCTATGCTGTTGTGGCCCGACACATGCAACATTCAATTTCGACCAGGCTCCCGAAAAACAAAAGGCGACTTTGCGACCAGTTTTAAAAATGGTTTTTAAGGCTTAAGAACCAGGTTTTAAAAATGAATTTTTGGCTCAATACTCCAACCACAAAAGTCCAAATTTTTTCAAGGGTAAAGCCAAAGCATTTTTAAAAGATTTACAAGGCATAGGCAAAATTTAGCACCATTTTTAGAGGCTAAAGGTTATAATTTTTTTTTAACATAAAAGGCATCAAAAACTCATGGATTCAAGGCCAATAACACCAAGCATAAATTGAATTTTTCAAAGCTTCTTTAAAGACATTTAAAAGGCATTTTCAAGGCATCTTTCAACAAAATTTTCAAAGGTTAACGTGCTCCAAATTTTCAACAATTAAGGCAACAAAAGAGAGTCCAAATCATCTTATTTTTTCATAATACTTTTTGTATTTCTCATAATTCCAAAAGATCTAAACAGTTGAACCTTAAGCGCATATATATATATATATATATATATATATATATATATATATATATATTCTTCAATTTTCTACTTGAACACTTAAAAAGAGGGTATTGGATCTAATACCATCTTCTGGAATCTACAAGCTAAAGGAAGAGTTTCGGATCAATTCGACAAACTCATGTGCTCGGTACTACGCTCATGATTGGGAAGATCGACGTCGGGATTCTCGGCCTCAGCTATGGCGCGGACAGGGGCTGGCCTCGATTGCTGCCGCGTCCACTCGTACTCTTCCTCAGCTCTCGGTGCTCGCATGGATCTCCTCTACCAGGAATCCACAACTTGATGCGGTGCGCGGACAGAGACTTGGCTGTTTCTTTTCAGTAAGGCGTGCACGACGGGCGATGGGGCGCTCGCGGTCTTCCTTGGCAAGTCACGCGTCGCGTCCTCGCAGCGCCTAGGCGAGAAGGGGTGGCTATGGGAGATTTTTTAGAGACAAAGAGGGTGCTTTGAAAAAATTTCTGGTGGTTTCTTGCTGCTTGAAGGTGGACCAAAATGAGAGAAAAGATTTGACTAAGGGATTTCTTGGAGGAGAGGGAATAGTGAGGAAAAGGGTGGTGATTTACTTGCCTTATTGAGGAGGAAATGGGGCATGAGATTGGGGTCAAAGAGCCATAAATTCAGCTGATTGAAGGCTGAAAAATGCTATCATAAAAAGACCTCTTGAGTGTTTGAAATTTGAAAAAGAGTTGGAGCAAAAA